CTACCATAATGTCACTCTAGGAAAACTACAGTGGGATCAAACAGCTTTTTACAGGCAAATTGAGTGAGAAGGGTTGTTTGCTGCCCAGAACTGCCAGGTGGTAGGCACTAGCAGAGCCAGAGGGTCTGTGCACCTAGGCCTGGCACGCTGTCCTGTGTGAAGGAGTTCACTGGGACTGGGGCCAGGCACAGGGTCTGGACATGAGTCTGGGGCTGCAGAGCTCTCACTCATCCCTCAGGTGTCTCTGCTTCCTCAGTGAGATGGGTGTTACCACCAGGTTGCAGCCTCATGTATTTTTGGTCAAATTTTCATGATGTCTGTAAAAACATAATTTAAAAAAAAAGAATATAAAGGTATACATTCCATTTTATCTGTCTTCTTTCCTTCATCTTGGGGGAGGGAGGGGAGCTGCTTGCTAGTTAAACATTTACCCACTAGCAAAGGTTGGCAAACGCTGTCACAAACAATATGCAAACAGGGACACCTGCCTTTCTGTAAGGCAGGATGCTCAGGGTCACCCCCTTGCTATGCTGCTGATTTAATTCAGCTCCTCTGCTGCTCCTGCCCAAGAGTGCTCCCTCAGTTCTGTCCACAGGTCCTCTCTGGCTGGTGCTGTGAGCTGTATGAATTCATAATCGACATGACTGGATAAGGCTGCTGAGGCTTTCAGCTCTTAGCACGGGGGCGGAATCTTCGCAGTCAGTGGAAGAGGCAGGACACACACTCACACAAGCAACGCTGTGCCTATGCAGAGAGGCTCATGAGGCTGGGGACAGGAAAGAAAAACAGGAATTTTATGCATTTCTTGGTTTCTAAGCTCCCTGATATGTGCTGCTACAAAAGATGCTGAAGGTCACATTACATACAACATTCATAACACCATGTCACCTTCCAAAGGACCTGTTTTTCAGAAATACTTTTTTTTTTTTTTGCTTCACCCACTTTCAAGCTTGAGATAATTTCCAGATTTTTTTTTCTCTAAAAAGACTCCACACTTGTGTGCACATGTGTGAGAATACTGAAATTTCAACTCTAAGTCTGTTCTACTTTATAAAAGAGTTTTTCTGAATTTTAAGTGAACTCAGCTGAGCCAGAGTTTTCAGTGCTGCACAGCCTTTCCATACTAGATGATGCTTCATCCACAGCTTTTTTTTTTTTTCAAAACACTATTAAGAGGTTGTTGAGCAGAATGATTTCTCTTGATTTGAGAGAGGATTTCTTTGATTTCTTTCCCTGTTTGCCTTTTTTTTTTTTCTTTAAAGCAGTGTAATAATTTACTCAATGAAACAAGACGTTTCCTTCCTCTACAAAGGATTGCAGAGAACCTGAGACCTCTTTGTTTATGGTATGTGAAAAATTTATAGCAAAACAAATGAAGAATCACTCTGAACTTGAGTGACTTCAGCGGCTGTTGGTGGAATTACAGTTCTCCTGGAGCATTTGGATTGTGGAAGACCAGGGCCTCTGTGAGCTATTCAGCTATTCCTCTCTTCCAGACCTGCGAGGCTTAAAATTTTCATCTAGGATCTATTGCAGCTTTCTAACATATCGCCTTAATCACAAGGCATATTCTTATTTCTCACTCTTGTGAGATTAATATCCCACCAACTCAATGAGAAAGCTGGAAAAGCCTTTGGATTACTGTGTAAATTAATTCAATGTCACATGGTAGTAATTGTACACTGTCTTCTTGTACTCCACAGCAGGTAGAAGTAGCATTTGCTGTTGATATAGCCATAATGACATTGTATTCATACCAGTAATTTCCACTTACACAAAGCACATGAGGAAAACAGATAATGAAAAATTATCTATAGATTTTTTTCAGGTTACAGGAAATTCATGGCTAGCAGTAAAACCTATTAAACTACTACTGCTGTCACTTGAAGGCATTTTTTGGTTCTTGAGAAAGGAAACACTTCAGTGATAGCAACATGAGGTTAAGCCTCACAAGCTACATATAAAACATGTAAATATTAATTCAAGGATGAAAGCATTCAGCTGAACAGGAACCATGTGGAAGAATGAGGGATGAGAATACATTAATTATAAGGTAATGTGTATAAATTGGAAATCTTGGAATGAATTTGGTCAGTCTGCTTTGCACAAGGAGCCTTCTTTTCACATTGATAATCACAATACATTTCTAACTCCTCCTTGCACATATCTGCTTTCTGACCTCTGTGTGCCCCAGCAGAGATAGCAGGGTGGCATTGTTGAGTGATAATGATAGTTCCCTGTCAGGCCAGCACTTGCACAGCTCTGGCTCCAAACTCCTGGATTTGCCTCATGTGGAAAAATTTTAAGAGTAATAATATTTATAAGAATGATATAATTATTTTAAAACTATTTCCAAAGAAATCAAGCAAGAGATGTTAGCATGCAGTACATTTGATCTGAAGTCACTGTTGCTTTCACTGGGGCTGGACTCTGAAAGATGAGTAGGACAGTTTCAAACATCTATGCACCTACCTCCCAACTCCTAGTATTTTCAAGACAAACTAGGTACCAATACTACTCAAAAATCCTAATTTTTAGTAGCCTCAATTCCTCTCACAATTAATTTGAAGTTCAATGCTTTGTTCTTCCTGAGCAGGTGTGATGGGAAAGGCAAATAAAGAAGGGAAGTTTTATATGATGACAAATTCAATCCAGTGAAACTTTGGCCTCTTACATGTAGTTGGATGCAAGAAGGCATGAATGTGAGCACATTCATCATATTCTATGATTTTAAACACTTTCAAGCTAGTATAGCTTCCAGAAGAAACTAAATCACTAAGTTCCCTATTGCTGAACAGATATACTACACGTGCAGAAAAGCACAGAAAGGGAATGTGTTTTTATGTTGCTTAAGCCACAGATCCTCTTCAGCCATTAGCATGTAAATTCCTTGTCATACCGATTGCTAAACAGCTGTGGTGTTAATTGGGAAAGAATTCTGTCATACCAAAAGCTGTTCTTGCACAGGAGATGTGGGGTTTGCCATAAAATTCCTGATGTTTTTGGAAAAGCCACTTAATTTGTGTTTTCTTCTGTAAAATGAAAATACATTTTTGCATTCTCCGATTGCTTCTGGCTTTTGTTTGTAAGATGTCATCTCAGAGAAAGATGCTTTCTTTAGATAGGAATCTAAATACAAGTGCCTCATTAGATTTGGCTTTGTGGTGCAAGTGTAATTCAATTAATTACTGTAAGAAATATGAACCTAGTAAGGGTTATGCCCAGGATAATAAATACATAATTCCAGGGACAAGCTGTGGCATATTTCTCTGCTGACAGCTATCCTGTCTCTGTTACACTGTGCATCTGCTTTTCCTCCCAGAGGAATGCATTCAACGCTGCTATGGTGATTGCAGTCGTGCCCCCACTCAGCAGCCTTTCTGCAGATGTATCCTCACACAGACAGCTCGAGTTTCAGACTGACCAAAACCACAAGACAGAAGACAATCTCCCCAGCTCTGTGCACGCAGCCTCTTAAAGCACAGCTAAACCCACAAGGCTTGTGAACTGCTCCAGTCCGAACCACGGATGGATATCACTTGTGTTCCCGCTAGGTCTACCAGCTGCAGAGGCTTTGCAGTGACATCCCTAACACGTGCCTCCTATTATGCATCCTCCATCCTGCTGCAACACCCCACCGTGACCGCGACCCTCACCCCGGCTTCCTACAGCTGCCACTGCTTGCGCCGCACCCGCGCACCGCAAAGCCGCCCGGGGCCGCGGGCTTGCCAGCGGTGCCAAGAGACAACCCCGGCTCCTCGGGGAACGCAGAGCTCAAAGGGAGAACGGACGCTCCAGACGGGGG